GACTTGCGATCAGAGTCACGGAACGGATTAAGTTCGTAAGTAGAGGTACCACTGTACTTCCAAGTATTTAACTGTAAGATTATGCTGTCAGGCTACAGTCACATACCTACTTAACTGGAAGCAATTGTACATATGATTTTACTCGTAGTCTACATATTGAATCCTTGGCTTCAACAGATGATTTAACTCAATACATAGAAAGTATTTTATACTTAGAGAAAAAAATAGTACTTCAGACAAAAACATTGATACAAATTATCAGTACAGTTTATAAAGATATTGATGTGAAAGAGGATATCAGTATGCACTAGGCTGTTGTTAAAGTTGCTCAGCCTGAAATTACAGTGTAGCCAGCGACAAAAGACATAATGGCAACTGAACTTCAACCTGAGAGAACAAAACTTGGGCCAATCATTTAACCTACAAAATTCAGGATGGATTATTTATTGAAAACAATTATACATATGCTAATTCTTTATCTTGTTTATTGTATCTTTTGGTTAATTTTCTAATTAGGTTTTGAAATAAAATATATATGACTGAATTGTTCTTACGTAAGAATTGAGTAACCAAACCTGTTACTTGATTTTCCAGTAGGATACTGAACTTGAAGCTTTAATTAGAATCAGCTTACATATATTATGTCACTTGACACTTGTGTTTGAAGCAGCGTGTTTGTTTTATTGGCCAGTTCTTGGTTTTCATTGTTGAAATAGTATTAATAAAATGGCTAATTTTTTATAACATTCCGTATTATTTTTTTATTCTTTGTAGGTTAAGAGCAGAATGTATCAGGGTAAGATTTTTTGCCCTTAAGTTATGGTACTGTGATTAATTTTGGGAGAGTTACTTGTTTAATATAACTATGAGCTCTTATAAGTAATAGAATATGCTGCACTGTCATGTGTACTTAAAGCTATTTAGGTACGATGAGCTTCTGTTCCAATGTTGTGGGTCAGCGGACAGAGAAGATTTAGAATTCCAAAACATCTTTAACTCTCTACTTCTCAAATAGCGCTGTCTTGTTTATTTCTATACTTCCATGCTGTATTAATGTCACTTGGGAAGAACTCTTATTCTTCTGCAGAGTTTTTGGACAGCTGAACAGGGAATAGGAGACTAAGAAACATCAATGTAATTGCAGCCTTTTAAGTACTGGATATTTATTATTTCCAAAATTCCACTTGTTCTGTCTGCCTCAATCTTTCCAAATAAATTCCTGAATATGTCATGTCTTCACTGCCTCATTATAATTTTGGCCTAGTTGTTCTCACTGTAAGAAGTACATTCCTTTTGACTCTGAAAGAAAGCCCTAGCCGGAGTGTTTATTAGTTTGAAACATTACTGTATTATTAATTTGTAGAGTTTCCCCATTTCCCAACCAGCATTTTTAAGCTAAAAACACTAAACAGATTCAATAGGTATATTTAAATGACATGCTCCAGGGTGGGAATATGCCTGTTATTATTTCCAGTGATAAAATTAGTGCTATGGGTGGGGGATACACTGGAAATTCATGGATTGGCTTTTGAGGTATAATAGTAAATACTCCAGTTCTGCAAGAAACTGTTCTACATTTGTCTATACTTTCTTTTTTTCCTTAGTGACAGAAGCACAGCTAGTAGAAAAAATCAAGACTCTTTTGAAAGAAAAGACAGAAATATTAGAAAAGTTGTCAGAATATGATCAAAAGGTATGTGTGCTGTTTACCTCTTTAACTGTGACATAAGACAAGTACATGGAATAAGTATAAATGTCAGTCTAATTTAAAATATATGCATTTATCTACTTTTGATGGTGCAAAATTTATCACAATGTATAATACTGAGCAGGTAAATTATCATAAAAAGCTTAAAAGTTAAAACAATAAAATAAAAATAGTAGAAACAACCAATCAAATAACAAAGACAATTTGTGATTATAGGCCATTATTTGTTATTTATTACATTATTTTCCCTTTGTAATTAGATAAAGGAAAGGGTAAAGGAAGCTGTAGAGGAAGGCCAGAAAGAAAATACAAACCTTGCAGAGGAAATTGCAAAGCTTAAGGTATGTAGGAATGATTTTTGTTTTTAAGAATTCGAATTCAAATATAGTTCAGTTCAATCAATATGACGTATGTTATAGGACACAAATAATCTTCTGGATAAAAGAATGAAAAACTTAAACACCATGCTAGAAGTGGAGAGAAAGCACAGTTTGAAGAAACAGGAAGAAGTAAGTAACTTTTCTTATTTACCACAGAGAGTTTAATCAGACTTTGGAATCCATAAAGAAAAAAAAATGTCCCCACTGTTGTTGCTCCTGGTTCTACTCTGTTCTGAGATCTAATATTCTGACATTTACTGCAATTCATGCATATTATTGTGATTATACTGATCTCACAGTCTTCTTTTGTACTGTGGTATATTCTTTTGATGCTCTTTATGGAGGATAATATAAGAATTTTCTAAATGTTTCCTTTTTGTTTTTTTGCAAATTATTGATTTACTGCAAGAATACTGTATACATTTTGCTAAAGCATAGTATACTTAATGTTACATAGTATATTTTAGTATGCAAAGTGCTTGTTGGAATTTATGTAAATCTTTATAATAGTCCTGTTAAGTAGGCAGTATTATTTCTGCATAGTAGGGGCTGTGAGTGAGGGTAAGAAAGTACTACCTTGCTTGTCTGACACTATTGCTAATGAAAAATAATATCCACAAGCATCCCAGCACTCTGTATGAACTGTGTTATCATTTTTCACACTGAGAGTAGTCAGTTCTTAGGCATAACTGGTAAGCCTTTCTTTGAGGAACTGAGGATTTTCTTTCTAAAATGATCCACATTGGGGATTTATAGCCAGTTTTGATTGCCTGATATAAACTAGTAAATAATTAGTTTGATATTAACCTGAAGGCTTGCTTTACACATATAAAAAATGTATGTGCATAAATATCTTTGCAAATCTGCTCTTGCATTAACTCAAATTGACTTCAGGTTTGAAGTCAATGTACATGATAGTTTTTTATTTCTATCTGTGTAGATTATGGAAGCACAGAAGTCTTTGGAGAAACTCCAGGAAGTCATTACTTTGCATTCTGTAGAGCTCTCTGAGGTAAAGCATCTGAATTTTCAACTTAAAGCAGCTTTTATGACTATTAAAAGCAAAATTTAAAAACTAAAGGTTTGGGCAGATAAAATTCTTGAATAATCTGTGCTTGGGAATATTAATTTTTCAAGATTTGTATCTCAGATGTGAAATTATTGACACAGGTTCAGATAGCTCTTAATGAAGCTAAATTAAGTGAAGAAAAAGTGAAGTCTGAACTGCATCGTATGCAAGAAGAGAATATAAGATTGAAGAAGAGTAAGGAGCAAGTGAGTTGTGCTTATTCAATTATTCTTAATCAATTGCCTTTTGAATATACTAGCCTGCATGTTAGGTTTGCTGAAGACTTGAATGTTACATATTTTATTGAGGACATCAGTAATGCCATAAGGCAATTAAGAAAAGGTGGCACTGGATGGTAATTGAGCAGTGTCGAAGAGGATACCTTGGATATAAGGGAATGTTGTGCAGACCTTATGGCCCAGTAACTAAAGGAATATTGCAATCAGAGGCAAAGCACTTTGGAGAATTGCAGTTAAAGGAAGACATTGTTTTCTAATGCCAGTTTGATGTTTCTTTAAATAACTAATGGATATTTTAAGAATGCTTTTGCCATCACACACACACACATCCACACAAAACACCTACAATGGCCTTCTTTTTTCCATCATTTTCCTCTGTTTAGTTTATTACATGGTGTATTGTTTATATCCACAAATGTTAAACAAGTGCACATGTGTGTGTGCACACCCATAAATAGGAATGAAAGAGAACCATTTCAAATTTGTGATTTTCATTTTAAGCTGTGTGAATATTTAGATGCCTGTAGTAGTTCACTGAGCACTTCATGTGAACCATGTAGGATTACCTTGAAAGATACATTTTGATAACATTTTAACTTATTTTTTAGCTGCTGCAAGAAGCAGAGGGCTGGAGTGAAAGGCATGCTGAACTCAGTGAACAGATAAAGTTATATCAGAAGTCTCAGAAAGACATTGAAGAAGCACTTGCCTATAAGGAAAATGAAATTGAGGTAAATTCAGTTTAACCATACAGTAGCTTGTTCTATGATTGCATCACTACATTACTGTACCAAGTGTTCTATTCTTTTTGGCTAAATTGTGGCTTTTTGCTGCTGCTTTAGGTTTTGACTAACTGCATAATGCAGCTGAAGCAACTTGATGCAGATTCTGAGTCAGAAGGCAAAAGAGAGGAAGGAAATGACCTGGCCAATGGAGAGATCTCAGGTACCTAAAACTCAGATGATAGACTTTGAATGTGATAACAGCACAAGGCCCAATTTTGAGCAATAGTTAAAAGAGCAGTGGAGCCTAACTGTGTGTGATCAAATCTTATGATGATGGTAGTGATTTTTAGTTAAAGGGAAGAATTTGTTCTGTCTCTCAAGAGATAACACAATCTCTGCCTTGCCTTGAGTTCCTTATGCTAACTGCTTTTGATATTCATCATTTTACTTTATGCAATATGTCTGTTGGAGCAAAAACAACAGTGTTGGTTCAAAATAATGTTGTTTTTGAGTAGTTAAATTACTTTTCTCTTGGGCCATCAAATCTACAGTCATATTTGCCACTAGGTAGGAGCATGTCTTATTCTCAGAATTCAGAGCATGCCCACCATCTCCAAAAGAATGAGGACCCAAATGGAGCGCATCTTGTTTTGTTTTGTTTTATTTATTTATTTAATGGGTTTATCTACTTAATTTCTTTTATTTAATATACTGTACTGCCCCAGTCATAAGAATCTGGGTGGCCTACAAAAATAAAAGCAAAATGATAAAATAATTAAACCACCTAATAAAAATGATAAAATAATTGTTAGAGAAGTGCACTTCTTACATTCTAGTTTGCAATGTAATTTGCAAGATAACTGGCTTGAATTTCTATTGTCATACTCCTTTCTTGCCTTAGCAGCAGTGTTTGATTTGTATGATAATACTTTATTGGCTCAAACTGAAACTTTATAAGAAATTATCTGTGAGCTCCCTTTTGAAAATATTATTTGCATATTAGACACAATGAAATAATTTATTTCTTTCCTTAGATTCCAGGAATGAAAAGATGAAGACTCAGATTAAACAGATGATGGATGTTTCAAGGGTATATAACACATTGATTTACCTAATCAATATAACCTATGTTTATATTATAGCATAATTCATCACTTGCTATTTATTAACCTTTTGCAGGTAAAAACAACATTATCTATCATTGAAGAAGAAAGAGATCAGTTACGTTCCAAACTAAATGATGAAGTAGCAGCAAGACATGAATTAGAAGGTGTGTTTGGCAAATAAATAGTTTAAAGTTATTGTTTTAACTGAAGTATTGTATCATAAGGAGACAAAAAAAATGTATCCTGCTTTTAGATTTTGCTTTTCTTCTTATCAGTTCACAAATTTTTGTGGCAATATAAGTTACAGCTGTTAGCTTAGATCTCTCTCTGCCTTGACTTCATATCCAGTAACCTAGAAGAATGCAATTCTTACTGGGCAGCAGTCCTGGGAGTGGGAGTCCGAAACATAGGGAGGGCAACAGTTTGTCTATCCAGCAGTAACTACATGCTGCCTCTTTTTTCAAATTCTCAGGTTTTCACGTATGCCTTGCCTGCTCATTTATATCCTGTAACTAGAACATTGTGTGTGTGCGTGCGTGCACATGTGTGCCTTTGAGTCAGTTTTTGACTCCTGGCGACTGCCTGAACTAGTCGCTGCAGTTTTCTTGGCAAGGTTTTTTGGAAGTGGTTTGCCATTGCCTCTTTCCTAGGGCTAAGAGAAAGTGACTGGCCCAAGTTCTCCCAGCTGGCTTTGTGCCTAAGGTGGGACTAGAACTCCTGGTCTCCTGGTTTCTAGCCTGATGCCTTAACCACTACACCAGACTGGCTCTTCAAACTAGAACATGGGCCTAGTAAAAAGAAGGGCTGTGCATAAACCAGTGTTACTTTTTTTTAAATTTGTCTACTTTAGGATGTGCATGTGTACACTCTGCCTGATATAAGCTTCATCTTGCCTCTCTGCTCTCTTCCTCATTTCCCTCATCCATACTTTACTTCTGTGAACTGCTGTCTTTTTTTTATCTGCTCCTAAACTACTTCATTCTTTGAGTAGTGTTTTGTGTTGCTACTTCAGCCCAGATTATAAGTGTTAGAAGCATACTATCATGAATGCAATAATACTATGTAGAATTGTTTCATTGCAGAGCAAATCAAGAAACTGGAGCATGATTCATGTTCCTTACAGACAGTAAAATCTCAGCTAGAAAGTGAGTGTAAAATGCTGCAACAGAAAGTAGAGATTCTCAATGAACTTTATCAGCAGAAAGAGATGGCACTTCAAAAGTAAGTATTTTTAAATCACCATATAGCCTAAAATATGGTACAAAATTATTACATTTTCTCCTCTAGCTAATTAAACTCTATTTTGATATGATTATATTCTGTCCTCCTAAGTAGCTTGCAGCCAGCCTTGACCTCCTAGAAAAAAAGTAGATACAAATAAGTCCAGGTAGCCCTCAACTTATGACCATTCATTCAGTGACCATTTGAAGTTATGGCGGTGCTGAACGAAAGGGCTTACAACCGGTCCCCAAAGTTATGGCCTTTGCAATGCCCCCTTGGTCACATTATCAAAATTTGGGTACTTGGCAGCTCACCTGCACTTACAACCACAGGCATTTCAACTCTCTCCATCCGCCTACCTCCCCCCCATCTCTCTCCTTTTGGCTGCCCTGCACTCCACTGCCCCAGCTGATCTTTGTTGTCTTCTTGCTCCCGCTGCTTGATGAGGTGTGCCTGGCCTGGACCTTCATGAGACAGCTGCTGGCCACATGAGGCTTCCTTCCCCAAGTTGCGGACTGTGGTTTCCTCGTGCACCATAAAGCCCCTTTGCACTGCACTCCTGGTCCAGGCTGGGGCTAGACTTCACACTGCACTGCGGCTCAGGGGCTGTTTTTTGCAGTCCCTGAGCCGCAGCACAGTGCAAAGCACAGCCTCAGCCCGGCCCAGGAGCACAGTGCAAAGGGGCTTTTTGGCATGCTGTGGCTCCGGGGCTGCAAAAAGCACGAAGCCCAGCCACAGCTCATGCCTCATCAACAGTGGGAGCAAGAAGATGGTAAAGGTCAGCTGGGACTGGGAGCGCAGGGTGGCAGAGGTCTTGGAGTGCAAGGTGGCGACTGCAGCGGGGACTGGGCTGGCTGTGGCCTCTGGGCTGTGGGAAGGAGGCCCCCAGCCAAACGGGGGGGGGGGGGGGGGTGGGGGGGGTGTGGGCTTTTGGGGTGGGAAAAGAAACAGGGGGCGCAGAAGGAGGCAGGGTGCAGGGCAGCCAAAAGGGCAGAGTTGGGGGGAGATAGGCAGGTAGGGGCAGTCCCTTACCTTACCGAGGCTCAGATCTGGGAGGGATCAAGACTGAAATGGCTTGGATTGGTGTGGGTCCTCAGCTAACAACTGGTGGAATTCAGTTAACGACAGCAATGGGGAGACCTGGGATTGCCATCACTAAGCAATGCAGCCATGTGATATCTCACTTTACAACTGCATCGCTTA